CCCCCCCCCCCCCCCCGAGATAGGTGTACAATTAAAAACATTAAAGGGCCTACTTTAAAATGTGGGCATGTTCTGTCACGTGACTCATTCGTAAAAGCCGGGACTGGTGATACTTTTAGGTATACCTGTGTAAGGCTACTTTTGAACTATGTATCAGGACTCACATTTTCCAGCAAGGCTAGTGTGAGATCACAGGGCAAATATATTTTCCATGTGAGAGAAATGGAGACCCTGGGAAATTGGGCTTGGTCCCTTGTCAAAAAGAGACAAAAAAAAACCCTCCAGTTGTTGTCCTGATAGCTTTAGCCTAGCTAAATATTTCGATATATTAATAATGATGATGACTGTAATTATAATAAAGCAGAAAAGCCACACCAGTTGCTGTTGGGTTGATTATGACCCAAGGCTGCCCCACATGGGGTAGAACAGAACTGCCTTCAGTGGGGTTTTCAATGACTGAAGGCCAGGCTTCTCTTCTGAGTGGCCACTGGGGGGGTTGGCTATACCCGGACTCCCACTGTGCCAGTTACAGTATTCTGCTAAGCATCTGACCCAAGATACTGTTACCATTTAATCTCATCCTATTACACAGGGATGTGATACTCTTTTACACAGGGCCTATCACTATCCCCGCGTCACCAGTGGGCAAACGCCAATATAAACGATGAAGTCACATTGTCAAGGTTGCAGAGCTGTTCAGAGTCAAAGGTGGGGTTTGAACCCAGGGCTGAGAGCCGAGCCCCTTCGTGCCATGGCTAAGCAAACCAGTAGACAAATGCATACAACCTGTGTGCATTTACCTCTGATGATCCCTGTGAGAGAGGTGTTCTCAACAGCCATTAAAGAGTTGGCTTTCCAAAGTGAACACTGTCCCAAAAGTGGGCCACCTGTGCAGTTCTGCCTGTGAACTTCCTGTGCATTGCCCAGATGGGGCCTGGGAACACTCTTCCCGAAGGAAGAAGCAAGTGCACTAGGACTACGATAGAGAGCTGCTTCCTAGTTATTCACTCTCAGAGCTCTCAGGGGGATGTTCCCCAGATTGAGAAAGTATTTTCTTTCCCACATTCAGCCTGCTGCCTGGCACTGCTAATTGAAAATCAGTGTCACCTGCTCTAGTCATTTGCCTGGAAATAGCATCATTATCCAGGGGGCCCACTGGCCTTAGCCAGCACTATTGCCATGAATCATCAAGAAAATTCACATTTTTATTTCTTCAATATGGACTGCATTAAAACAACAGCAGTTTACAGGCATTTATCTTTATGTACTCTCTGCACATTTCCCCATCTCAGCCTTGGCCGCCTCCCAGGCACTGTCATTCATAAAACGGGGTGGGACTTGATTTGGCCCAGTCCAACAGGAAAGCAGTCTGGGTAGTGTCTGCAGCCCAAGCCCCACACCAGCCAAGAGAGGATGAGGCTGGAGACCCAACGTGGAAACCTGCTGGGAACAGGAAGGCTCAGCCTTGGCCCGGGGTTCGGAAGTGTTCATATCTGCTGGGCTTCCCATGGGTCCCACCAGAACACCTTCCTTAAATTGTCGGGCAGCCTTTCCTCCCACCCTGGGCAAGGTTGGCTTCTGCTACAAGATGCACAGCACATAAGGTTGGGAACTGAACATTTCCCAGCAGTGTGACAAAGTCGCTCCATTTTGGAGTCATGGAGGAGGGTTTGCAATTAGGTGGGTGATTTTGAAAACCCAAAGATTCCACTTGCAAAGGAAACGTGTGGTCCCTGGTTTCTAAGGTGACCAAACGGATGGCAGAGCCCTCCTTTGGGCCAGCTCCTGTTCTGAAGCATTCCAGCATGCCTGCCCATCGTGGCTCAGCAGGTATGGGGTCAGCGGTCACTCAGAGGACATGGGAAGAGGATGTTTTGATGGTTGTACAGGCAAGGATTGGCAGTAGCTCTCAGTTCTGCTCATCTTCTCCCTTGTCTTGTCTACAAGATGTACACTCCAAAGAGCAGACAGCTGGCCTTTACCCGGATGCATTCACCTCTTAAATTCTTTGCCAAAGAGCCATCAGCCATGAAAGATTCTGCTATTCCAAGTGAATACTGCCCCACGGTGGGCCACATGTACAGTTCTACCCGTCAACCCTTTTGCTTGTGCTAGGAGCGCTTTGCCTCAGATGCAAGGTTTCCCTGAGGGTTTTGGGCCACAAGGTGGATGGGCAGTCCTTGAACAAGCCCCTGAAAGTTGGCTCAGAGCAATCAAAGTCTTTATCTTACGATGGACACTGAACATCGCCTTCTCTACACAGTCAGTCACAGGCAGGCAACCGGGCTGGGCAGTGACAGCTGATACAGATCAGCAGTGGTATCAGCTCAATCAAAGCAGGCAGGGTCCTAGTGGTCTTGCCCAACGGTTCGTGATTAAGCTTCCCAGGCCTCGACTATGCCCTGCGTCTGTGCCTGATCCGGGGATGCTCTGCAGCGGTTCAGAATGAGCACTCTGGTTGAGGTTATGGGAGCCTGGGGAGCAAGGCCTGCCGCTGGCACTGAATTTCTCTCTTCTTAGCAGAGGGAAGCCGTCAGTGAGATGACCTTGTGTGATTAATTGTCTTATGTGGCTGTGTTAGGCTGGGTTGACTAGAGAAACAAATCCAGAGACACTCATAGAGGTATAAGAAAGAGTTTTATATCAATAAATAATTGTATATCAGGAAAACATCCCAGCCCAGTCTGACTCAGGTTCATAAGTCCAATACTCGTTCATCAATCCCTCTCCAGACTCAAGCGTCCACGTGCAACAATGCAGAATGCAAGAAGATCACAGGCCTGTGGTGCAGAGTTGCATGGCTCCAAATGGTGGTGGCCACGTGGCAGGGCTCACACAGGTCTCCTGTGACTTCTCAACGGGAAGGTGAAGGCATAGAGGTGGGGCGGGGCGGGGCGTCCTCCAACAAGCCATTTATCCTAGTGACACCTCCAAACGAGGTCATCAAGGTGCAACCTGATCGACAGGCTAAACTCCACCCATATCTTCTTACAGGTGCCCTGTTGGCACAAGAAACCCTGTCTCACAGTGCCTTAGATGTGCCGGCTGTGTTCTTCTAGGGCCAAGGGAGTGCCCAAGTAGAGCCCCCAGTCACCTTCCCTAGTGGAGAGGAGGGTGGGTCCCTAGGGGCTCCTCCCATAAGATAGAGCATCAGAATGGACAAAAAGGTGCCTCTTAAATACGGAATCAGGGACTTCAGAGTCCTCTTAGATGTCCCCAAGATGTCCCTAAGACCAAGCGATGGCCCTTCTGTTCCCCTTCTGACAGAATGCAATAACGTGCTGGCGGAATTTCACAACGTCCTTACAAACGTAGACGTCAGCTTCATTGGTCTGCTTGGGTAATGCTGTGTGGCAGAAGCTTCCTGGTAGCCGGAGGCAACTGGATGCCGGCTCTGTTCACTGAGCTGGCTGCTTCTCGCTGAGGGCTCCACCCGTGTCTGTGAGTGCAGTTGAGAGGCTGTCTGTAAGACGTGGGCAGATGGCAACACGCCATCCCTCGCTCCTCTGACGAAGCCCGTGACTGTAGACGCCTCTTTGGGAACAGGACAAAGGCCGTCAGACGGGAGGTCTGTGCTTGTCGCTGCTGCAGCGAGTCCTCTCCTCAGACGCAGCTGTGAACTGCTGTGTCACTGTTTCTGGCGTCATTGGGCCTGTTTTGCACTCACCGTTGGGCAACACTCAGCATAGGACTTGCAGAGTTGAGGTTAAGCTATGTGTTAACCTGGGATTTCTCTCCTGGGTCATCACCACTGTGGTCAGCACTGTTGGCATTGGGAATATCCCTTCCCATGTGAATTGCTTCAAACACCTTCCGGACTGCATGGAGTACCCGGGCCCACCAAGCAGATCACGGATAAAGAGACGTGTCCAGCCGCTTGCCCCCCAGCCGCAGAGCAATGAGAGCATTTTCTAATGTAGCTTTGAATTTGAATTAACGTTTAATTCAATTAATGAATGTGCCCTGTGGCAGCCTCGATGATGCCCGTGGCTTTCCTGCTGTTGTTCCCCGTCTTTATTTCATCCTTCACTTCTCTATTACTTTGTTGATTTCATGTATTTATTTTTATTGGGCTGACTGATGGGAAGTGCCTGCCAGATTGTGTGCGTGTGTGCATGCGCGTGTATGTGTGTGCACATGCATGAGTGTGCATGTAAGTCATCAAACATCTGGATATCTTCACAACTGAGAAAAGGAATTGCTCTCAGCTCTGGTGGTTGAGAGACAGACGGCACCTCCCCCAAAGCCCTCCGGCTGGGCCCTTGGGGGCCTTTGATCATCCCGAGGGCCAGCGCACTGTGAGTATCTGAATCGGGAACTTTTGAACCAAAAGCCAAATCACTGGGCTCCTTCTGGCTTTTCAGGGATGGAGGAGAAATATCTCCCAGGAAATCACCATCCCACTTCCTGGCTCAAATAAAATCCTCCTGACATCCGCGCCGCCTGCCAGATATAGTGCCTCGGCAATCCCCATGACTGTTTATAAAGTAATACAGTTTCGGTCCACACGCTTCTCCAGAAATGTCCCCCAGCAAAGCTTCCCCTCTGCCACTGGCCTGCGGGGGTGGGGGGAGCTCACCTCTGGGTCCTATCAGCTCCCCGCTGCGTCCTCCTGTGCCAGGTTCATGCCGCAGCTGGTGGGCTATTTTGGAGAGGAGCAGTCTCAGATAAAAAGTTTGCTTTATGACCCTTGGTTTGGCTGTAAAGCCTGCTGATGTCACATCTGTTGGCTGTCTGTTAAAAACTAATGCGTTTCCTTCCCTTTATTCTCTTCTGCTCTGTCCTTTCCTGTCCGCTTCTGCTCCGATCGCCGCTTTCACCCTGCTCCAATCAGCTTGACCCTCAGGTCAGTACTTCCAGGTGTTGTTTGTCCAACCGCTTTTCCCTCCTCAGCTCGATTTACTGCTTGCATTTGTTTAACAAACACATTTCTGCAATGGTTTTCTTCTGCCATGGCCACCTCCCGCATTTCATCCCATGCAGAAGGGCGGTTTCTTTTGGGGGGGAGGGGGTCAGGGCCGGTGGGCAGTGGGAGGGCAGGCAGTGGAGAAGGTGGCAATAAGTTATCGATGGATAATTTGATCAATTCTACTCTTGGAGGATAAAAGTCAATGAGGAAAAAACAAACAAACAAAAGCAAAAGCCCCCAGGATAGCTCCCCACTGCATTTGGCTGAGAAATTCCCAGAACTGATTGCAAGAGGCTGGAAGGGGCTGGGTGGGGGCGGGGTGGGGCGGCAAAGGGAGCTGCGGAGCTGCCTGCAACCCCAGAACACGCCTTGCGTGACTCAGCGACTCGCAAGCCGGACTCCACAGACCAAACCTCTCTGACTTGTCGCTTAACAAGGCGCTGCATTTGGGAAGATTGAGAACCGTTTCTGTAAAGTCCGTTTTGAAAAGTATCCACGTGTTTGTCACATATTGTACACACATGGCATTTCCTGTTGTTGTTTCGGTTGGAGCTTCTTAGCTTCGTTTTTTCTGAGCCATCAGACATACTTTAATTACCTAGGGCATTATGCCGGGAGCCAAAGGTAAAACTAGATTCAGAGTTGACCCTACACACCCCGAAATTGAGACAGGAAATGGACATTTTGCTTGAAGATCCATTGCCGTCTTGGTTCCCCTGAGCAGGGGGCCTAAGTCAACTATGTAGTCTTCCTTAGGTCAAAGGGGACGCCTGTCCCCCATCATGTGTGTTACAGTCTAGAGCATATGTTACCATCCAATCCCTAGTTTGCCAAAGGATGCCCACCGCTGTGTGACGTGTGGTCTCTGAAAGCTCCGTGGAAGCCCTGGTCGTGCAATGAGCCCAGCACTGAGCTGCGAAAGGCAAGGTCTGTGGTTAGCACCCACCAGCCCCTCCACTGGAAACAGCTGCAGCTTTCTGCCCCCCTCAAGGTCTCCAGCCTGGGAACCCCCAGAGCAGTTCTGCTGTGTCTAACGGCCACGGTGAATCAGAATCAACTCAGTGGTAGTCAGTGGCTAGACTTCAATCAAACATCTCAAATGATATCGGTGGCCAAGATGCTGGTCCTCTTGAGAAACAAGCCGTGTGATCTTTCTTGCCTTACTTAGGTTCTGCACCGCTTCATTCCACCCACCGGCCCCTCCCACAAGCCAGGGGGACAATTCGGATTCCTCATGCCAGAATCTCATCAAAACGAGACCTCGCGCTGCCTCACGCTCACCCCCCTTTTCGTGGCTCCTGGCTGGTTGTTCCTGCTGAGCCTAGCCCCCCTCAAGACGACCCCAGCGCACAGCTTCCCGGGGGCTGCCTTCCTGTCCCCTGGGTGGGTTCACACTGCCCACCTTTCAGCTAGTGGCTGAACACTTCCCCATTTGCGCTACCCAGGGATGCCCGGGTAGCTCATAGTCCTGGAAAACGAGGCTATTTCCACGGACCGCCCACCCAAGGCACACCACAGATCCTGCCTGAGCCTCATCACACGGAGGGGGCCCTCTTCTCAAGTCTTTCAAGCAGACAGGTGACCCTGCTGAATTCTCTAGGTACGGGGCACCTTTCTGGGAAAGTCTTGGTTTTCTCCTGCTTCCTGGTGAACAAGCATGGACTTGGGCCTCCAGGGGACAGGAGAGGTGCTGTGTCTCAAGGAATTCTCAGACAAGAGGTAGGGCATGCTAACTGGTTCTAAGACAGTGGTTCTCAACCTTCCTAATGTCGCAACCCTCCAATACAGTTCCTCGTGTTGTGGTGACCCCCAACCATAAAATTATTTTCATTGCTACTTCATCACTGTCATTTGCAACTGGTATGAGTCAGGTGACTCCTGTGAAAGGGTTGTTCGATCCCCAAAGGGGTCGCAACACCCAGGTTGAGAACCGCTGTTAGGGAAACATGCATGCTCAGGCTGCGTGGGGCAGTTGTTGACATTGAATCAAGACTGGAATCATTCCACTGTCTAGCACCTCACCTGAAACCAGTCGGGGCTGGGGGTGGAGGGGGGTCCTGGGAGGAGCCCGTGGGAGGGTTTTTAGTGTGGGAGGATTGTGCAGCCCTGCTCTCCTAGACACCAGCCAACTGACCATCCCTGACTGACCCCGGCCTGCAGGGCGGGGCGGAGAGCTCGGGGACTTTTGAGAAAGTTCCAGAGTGAACTGTGCTCCCCTCCCAGCCACCCCCAGGTCCACCAATGACCGTAAAATGAGAGATCAGCATTGAATACAGGGTTTCTGTGCCACGGGCCTGTTTATAGGACTTACAGTTGGGGCGTGGTGTGTGTGTGTGTGTAGGGGGAGTGCACACGTGCGTGCAGGTACTGTGTCTATACACATGTGCCTGTTTCCTGGTCTAAGATAGGAGTTCGTCATCTGCCTGGCATTGTGACGACTTCCAGCCTGAGGTTTGGAAGCACAGGGGCCCTGGAGTCATTTTCCGGGTGCGGTCGACTTCAGGGCGCCGTGTCCCCTCAAAGTCCCCTTTCAGATGCCAGATGTCTGGCTTGGTTGTCTAGAGACACAGAGCCTGTGACTGCCATGTATGCATCAAAGAGTTTATCTATATGTAAGCCGCAAGAAGCATAAGAGCTTTATATCCAGAAGGCATCTCGGCCCAGTGCAGCTCAGTCCCATGGGTCTGATTCTGGTCCTTCTCAGACTCAGGTAGCTGGGCTGAGACGGGGCATCGGCACAGGCAGGGCAGTGCCGTCTAGTGGGCCTAAGGTCCGTGGGAACATGGCAGGTGCGGACAACCCCCGCTTGGCTCCCAGGGTCAAGGGTCCACTGGCAGGCACCCCGGAAGCAATCACAGAATCCAGGACAGAGGAAGGAGAAGGCCAGAAAGAAGTCCTCGCCGTCTCACTTCTGAAAAGGTCCTCCCTCCCAAGGAGGCATCACCAGGCCATCACCGGATTGACAGGCTGGACTCCGCCCCCACCTCCACACAGGGGCCGCAAGTTGGCATCAACTGACCACTCAGGTGGCCTTGCTTCCTTTGTGAATTTTCTGTAGAAGTTCCTGCTTAAATTCAGGTGGTCAGATAGCAACCTTTGCGATTAGTAACACGCGCACACCGCATTTTAAATCTGTCCGATTCCCCCACTCCATTAAACAGCATTTCTGTCAAGAGCCTCTTCACATGGCGGCAGATGGGGAGCGTCTGACAGGGAGCGTGAGGGAGACATACTTATTTCTAGGAGGCTTTTGTGAGATCCGTGTGCCACCCATAGCAGGGGAGCTTCCCTGGGTGTTTCTGCACCCAGCAGGTAACCCCACCCACCCACAGGACCCTTGGGGGCACACTAACTCTACTGCTTTCAGAAGGTTGGTGCTTCCAGCTCCCAATCAGGGCAGCGCTAGTGCAGGGAAGGTTGGTGCTCAGGCTCACCCAGCGATTGCAGAGAAGGAAAGGCTGCCATCTGCTCCCATCAAGATCCCAAGCCGGGAGGCCCCGTGAGGAAGCCCTTGCTCTGCACACGGAGTCATTGTGCACAGAAGGTGGGCATGGTGGTACCGGGACCCAACAGCAGGAACAGCAAAGTGCCTTTGGGGAGTCAGTGGAAAACCTTGCCGAAGGATGAAAATCAAACCAGCCCAAGGGGCCAGTTCCCTCCCTGGCTCCCAGCTTCTGGCTTGTTCTGGGTGTTGGGTCAGTAGCCTCCTTGGTTTGCGCCCAAGTCTCCTCTTGAAGCAGGTCCTCTGGGGTCCTCCCACGGGCATCCTATATCCAGTGGTTTGCCTGGTGGCGACAGGAGGAGGGCATCTCCCAGCAAGCAGGCTCAGGCTCTTGGCTGGAGCCTGGCAGCAGGCATGTGCGCTCCATGTCAACGTCAGACTGGACAGTGGCACTTCCCCGAAGCTGAGCTGCCCCTTCTCCGTCTCTCTTTCCAAGGAAAAGATGAAGTGACTCTGGATCTCCAGGCCCTGCTGCCCCTAGATATCATGACCAACTCCTCGCCCAGAGCGTCCCCTGCTGCCCTACCGCTTGCTATTTGCAAAGCACATTTCTCAGCCCTCTTTCTCCTGCACGGACAGAGTGAGCCCTTGTTGCCTGCGAGGGTGGGCCCGGCGTGCTGGCCAGTTTTTCCAAAGAAGCCCTGATGAAAGCATCTCAAACCGCTTACATGTAGCACTGTGTGTTACCGCGTTCTCCTTATAGAAGTGCTGTACACGGATAAGAGTAGTAAACACGATACAAGTGTCAGCGACACTCATGCCATTGCACGGTCACTTAATACCAGCCCTGAATGAGTCCCTTTTCCAGGCAGGACAGTAACCCCAGCCAACACTGGAGGTGTCAGGTAAAAGCCTGTCAGAGGAGGAGAACTCAAAGAGTTCCCACTGAAGCAAGCCAGCACCTCACCCTGCCCAAGGTGGTGAGACCGGGCTCTCCTCGAACTGCCTTTGTCCTAACTGACATCTGCACCAGGGAGGGAGGGGCTATTGTTACTTCTCCCCCCTCAGTCGGACATGGAAGCTCACCAGAGTTTAAGTATTTGCTTGAGCCTGTAAAGCCATATGTGCTCCCCTTGCCCCCGTCCATCTTTTCCAGCATCAGGATTGGAGCTTTACGCCGCCTTTCGCTGAGGAGGCCCGCGGCGGAGATCCATGTGGTTGTGTGCGGTCCAACGTCGCCCAGAGATAGCTGTCTGACCTGCATGTCTTCCTTGGGGTGCCTCAGGGCCATGCTGACTTGCCCAGCTCTCGGGGATTGACCCCTCCTTCCCTGCTTGCTCCGGGGCCAGCTCAAATAGCCCCTTGTCCATGGAGCCTTCGCTGAGCCCCTGAGGCAGACCCCGTTTCTCCCGCTGGGTCTCCTCAGAGCCCACGCTGATGCCCTGCCCTGCGTCAAGCTGGGGCACATACTCAGCGAGTGAGGTCTCCTAGCAGA